AAAAAAAAAATAATTTTACCATGATGATGTGCTGGAATTCTTTGAGTTACTTCCGCTATTTGAAGCCTCTCTGGTGGTCATACGATGTCGGCATAGGTCCTAAAATATTGTATTGCTTTACAGCTGATCATTTGGACAATGATTACTGAAACTATTCTAATACGAAAAGTACAAAATTGCCTTAACTATAGTGATACAGTTGAAGCCTCAATAACCAAATTGTTTCAAATTAATAGGCTTTAACAATGTCAACTATAAAAATGTTAGGTTTTTCTTCGGCACCGAGAACAACCAAAAAAAAAAAAAAAGGGGGAGAAGAAGGTTGTATAAAAAAATGATTGTTTTTTTATATATACATATAAAAAAAGAGAGAAAAAGTTGTTTTTTACAGTATCCTACAAATTTGAGTAAAAAAAGTTTCTTTTTTTTTTAGCACAATCTGATTTCCTATCTAAGAAGAGAAAAAACAACTTTTTCTCTCTATTTCTATATGTATATATGAAAAAACAACATTTTTAGAGACATTTGATTGCTTTTTAGAATTCAGTGCAAAAAAATTGTAATAATAATAATAATGATTTTTTTTTCTTTTCTTTTTTTGTCCCACTCCCTATTCCGATTTTTAAAGGTTCAAAAACAAATTTTGCCAAATAATCGACAGCAGTGCAGATAATTATTTTAAGTAAATAATTAATTGCCAATAATTAACCGAGCACTAATTTGTTGGACAAAGTTAATGCCTATGTAAAAAAATCATGTTTTCTTTCTGATAAAAACTGGCAAACAAAGCAATGGAATAGTTGAAGCTGCTGATAAAGCTGAAAGTTTAAGGATAAAAATCTGAAAGAAGTGAAAAAAAAAGAAATGTTTCTAAAAATGCAGTAAAAAAAAGAGAGAAAAAAACTTTTCCCTTTTTTTCCTTTATCCTTTATCCTTTTGCTATTCAATCGTCATTATCAGTTTTTTCCTCCATCAGCAACCATTATCACTGATTCTTCGTTGCTGTTGTCGTTTTAGCCGATTTATAAATCAGTTTCTATGCTTTTTCACGAAATGTGGAGGGCAAAAGGAATGGGAGTGCGGGGGAAACGAAAAGGGGAGAAAA